CTAAATTTAAAGGACATATCTTGTCCTCAAGGCTTCTTCCTCTGTCCTTCTCCCTTCTCCACCCTCTCCCATTCCTTCCCTCCCTCTCCATCCCCCTTTCCTTCCCTCACCTTCCCCCTCCCTCCATGCCTCCCTCTTCTTTCAGGTTGCTATGACACAGGGAGCTTTGCTCTGCCACACCTTCTACTACCAAGCCAACACATTTGTCATGACAGACTATGTCAGAACAGGCCCAGAAACACACAGTAAGGTAACCAAGAGACTAAAGCTCTGAACCTGCGAGGCAAAAACAGCCCTTTCTTCCTTTGAAGTTGTTTTACTCAGGTCTTCTTGCCACAGTGATGTAAGTCAGCTGACACAGAGAAGAACTGGTAGACCAAGGTAGCCTAGAGGTACTCAGCATTCACCCGTCTCTATGAGCCCGTTCACAGAGATAGTAGAGAGTTAGTAACTACATGAAACTCAAAACAGTAGATTTGTTTAACCATAAAATAATCAGAAAGCTCCAGAGCACAGTATAGGGAAGGATGGCTTTCCCACAATGGGAAGGGGAAAAAGGAAGAGAGAGAGGAAGCCTGAGCACTCTTCACAACCACAGAACATGGCACCATGCAAACCTGCAGTCTAAGTAGACTGAAGACCTAAGGCCTTCATAGTGAGTCAAAATGGAGGAAGAAGCCTCTATTCTTAGCAGATTCACACAGTGTTATAGCTGAGTGCCCTAGAAGAAGGGTCCTGCAGACCTGGCTTTCCTTAGAGATCAGAGTCACTGTGTGTCTGTTACCACAAGTGTGTAGCCTCTCAGTATCCCTGACCGGAAAATAACCTTCAATGAAATGTTTCTTGGCCATCTGTAAGCCATCTTTTGAGAATTCCATTTAGTGACTTGATCCACTTCTTAGATATTTTCTTGGCATTCAGTTTTTTAATTCTTCATATATCCTAGATACTAGCCCTCTGTCAGATATATAATTAGTAAAGTTTTCTTTTCTCATTCTGTAGGCTTCCTCTTCACTCAAATGGTGGTGCTCTTTGCTGTATAGATGTTCTTATTTCATATTTTAATTGTTAGTCTTGATGCTTAATCAAAGTCCTGTTCAGAAATTCCTTTCCTTTGCCAAGTACACACACACACACACACACACACACACACACACACACATACATCAAGACACAAAAATCTCACAGCTGATGACCAGTCAGTTATAGACAGTGAGGTGGGTCTAAGAACTCACTGTTGGATTTCCATGCACTTTGCAATAACTATTATTGCACCTACTCCCTTTCACAGAGGGCCCTAGTGTAAGCTGTTCCCACACTCTTTCATACTGCACAGTACTGGAAAGTCTTAAAAAGTAACAATACAATAGAGAATATATCTTATACACCCCACTGTCAATTTTGTAGCTGCTTAAACTGCCAAAGGGATCCCACACATGTGATTACATAAGAGAACTGGGAGCTAACATTCTGACATGATAGAGTCAACCACAGTCTGTGAAGTCACAGCAGAACCATAGTAAACAGTCCAAGTGGAAGGAAAACTACATATAAATCAGCATTGGGGAGCACATCACCAAGAGAAGGCATTCCCATAAAGATCATAAAGATATCCCCCTTAAAAGAGACACCCAACCCAACAGATGGCCTAATCTCAGCCTAAAATATAAAAAAATACAAAAAACAAGAAAAAAGAAGAAAAGTGTACAATTCTCTAATAATTGACTCCAAACAGAAATGCCAGGTTAAAAATCAAAATTAGTGTTTTTTTTAAAGGATAAATGAATCTCAAAGGAACACAGAAAAACAGCTGAAGGAAATAAGAAAAACAATACAAACGAGAAGCTCAATAAATAGATTGAACTTTGTAAAAAAAAAAAAGAGCCAAGACATATCTTAGAAAATAAAAGTTCAGTGGCTCCACCCTGATAGCGCCTCCGCCAGCCATCCCAGCTTCCATCCAGAGGGCCATCAGAGGGGTGAGTGTGATTCCGGGCCGCGGCAGGGGCCCGGCGAGGAGGGGCTAGGACCTTCCCCGACCCCATAGACACCCAGGTCAGCCTGCTCTGCTGGCTCCAGCCTGCTAGCGCCTCCGCCAGCCATCCCAGCTTCCATCCAGAGGGCCATCAGAGGGATCCTTCATCAGGCGAAGGACAGCGATACAGACGGATACCCACATTGGAGCACCGGACTGAGCCCCCCAAGGTCCAAATGAGGAGCAGAAGGAGGAAGAACATGAAAAAGAAAAATCAGGACTGCGAGGGATGCTATCACCCACTGATACAAGGGAACGGATCTAATGAGAGTTTACCAAGGCCAGTTGGACTGGGACTGAACGAGGACATGATCTAACCAGATTCTCGGAATTTGGCCGAATTCTCTGAATGTGGCTGGCCCGAAGTCTTTCTGAAAAGCCATTGACTATGATACTGGGACTTGTTTCCTCTGCATATATTGGATTTTGGGGATCCAGTCTGTTTGGACACTCACCTGCCTGGACCTGGAGGAAGGGGGGAAGGAACTTTAACTTCCCACAGGGCAGGAAACCCTGACTGCCCTAAGGGACGAAGAGGGAGGAGGAGAGGGAGTGGGGGGAGTGGGAGGGTGTTGGGAAGAGGGGCGGAAATGGAAACTTTTATAATTTAATAAAATTTACTCTAAAAAAAAAGAAAATAAAATAAAAGTTCAATAAATCAAGTAAAAACATCAATAGAAAGCCTCACCAATAGATTAAATTTAATTGAAGAAAGAATTCCCAGTCAGAAAGCAATTCTTATTATCACATTTATATAATAATTAGATTCAATTAAAATAAAATAATTCACTCAAGACATACAGGAACTCTATGGTGCAATTAAGATACCAACCTTAATAATAATAGGTCTAAGTGAAGAAGTAGAGGTTGGGGTTAAAGGAAGATAAAACTTATCTATTAAAATAATGGCAAAAGAATTCTCCAAGTCAGGGGCTAAAACGTAGGTTAACCAAAATTAGGAATGTCAATGAATTTTTTAAAATCATTGGTTTTTAAACTAATTAAAAAATAGTTTGAACAGACATGTCCTGCATGGTTGGACAATACTGTTCTCAGAAGACATTAAATGAAAAATTAATTCAGTGCCAGCCATGGGATGCATCTCTACTGTTAATCTTGTCAGAAGCCCATAATCTGGACAATCATAGACCCCAGAGCATAGCATACTGCCGTTAGGTTAAATAGCTAAGCTGTCAGGTAGCCTTCTAAATAGTTATGTTTATATCCAGAGATTTGTGGTGTTCTCAACTTTGTCAGAACAGCCATTCTGCAGTGGGTATACAGTCCCATAACTCTTCAATGTGACAAGTGTATGTAACTATTAAGAGCTCTTCCGTAGATGAATTGCCTGTTCTAACCTCTTCCCACCCAAGGTTCAGGAAACAGTACGTATGATTGGGTAGAAAAAAAATTCAAAGTCAGCAGATGAGAAAAGTTTCACAATGCTGGCTTTTGGAAGTGATAGCTATTCCACACAACTCAAAGCAGCCATGGCTACCTACACAAGGCCTCTACAAGATCAATCCAGACAGAATCCCAACACCCTGAAGGCCCTACCATTGGAATATGAACTATCGAGAGTCACTCTCCTTTGGAAACATGAGTGCTGGTAGACTCCCCATGCCTTAGTGGATGGCCCATGGCCATGTCAACGTGGACATCACTAACTCTACTAAGAGGTTATTCATAACAAGAAAGGGGGAAGCAAGATTTAGGGCACTAGGGGGAATTGGAGTGAGACCATTGTGAATGGGTGTAATTAAAATACATTTTGTACATGTATAAAATTTTCGAAGAATAAATAAAACACATTATTTTGTAAAGGTTTACCGAAATCTTGGGAATTATATAGACACCCAAGTATAGGATGTATTTAGAATTCCAAATAGACATGTCCAGAAAAAACCCAAAAACCTCTCCATGCTATATTATAGTTGAACTACTAAAAGTATGAAATAAGAAATGAATATTGAAAGTTTCAAGGAAGAATCATTTACTTATAAGGCAATAATTCTAAGTGGTTACTTAGAATTACAACATATTTCTCAGCAGAAGTATAACTAACAATCTAGATGTTTTGACTTAGATAGGAAGTGTCCCCGCAAAAGATCCATATATTAAAAGCTTGGATGTCATCTGGGAAGATGACTGGATCATGAAGGATCTAGCCTTAACAATTCTTATTTCAATGATGGATACATAGCTTCTTAGCATTACTGGGAAATGATGGAAAACAGGAAGTGGGGCCATGTATGAGGAAGAAATACATCATTGCAGTCATGCTTTGAGTGGATATATAATTTCTCTATTTTCTCTCTCCCTCTCTTCCCTCCTGGCTCCTATGAGACAAATTGCTGGGGGTATTTGATCACACTGTGAACCCTGAGTTTGCATTTGTGTTCATCTTGGGTCAGGAGGCTGAGTTAACAACTAGTTGACAAAGAGCAACCAAAGAGCATCAGAGCCCTCTGGAAGAGATGAGGAGATGCCCCAGAAGTACTGGGGAAGGATTTTGAGTGAGTGGAAGGGCAGGTCTTTTGGGGAGACACCAGCAAGGACCGAAGGTTAGTTAGGTGATACTCAATTCTCTAAGCTAGCCAGTTTCACCCAGTCTTTAAGTCTTGAGTTTTATTTATACATAGATAAAGATTTAGTTAAAGCTACTTTGTGTGGTAGCAGTAGGCAGCCTGTGGGAACAGAATTCCCACCACGCTGTGGCCTGAGCAGCCAGGCTGCTGCCAGAGAAGCAGGCCTGTGTCTACAGAGTTGCAATTGATGGCAGAGATAGCAGTCATTTAAGGCACCGCTGGTGCGGGAGAATTGTCTGTATTCTGTCAATCATATTTTAATAAAACGCTGATTGGCCAGGCAGGCAGTATAGGCGGGAAAGCCAGACAGGAAGTAGGAGTGGAGTAAAGAGACTGGGAGTATTCTGGGACACAGGAAGCCATCAGCCACTCCTGCGCAGATCACTGAAGAGGCAGCATGTAACTTGCCCAGCTGAGAAAGGTACGGAGCCAATGTGGCTAATGTAGATAAAGATAATGGGGTAACATAAGTTATAAGAGCTAATAAGTAGACAGAGCTAAGGGCCAATCAGCTTTATAACCTAATGTAGACTCCGTGTGATTTTCCTTGGGACTTGCTGGCTTGTTGGGGTACTGGGTGGGACAGAAACCCCAACTAGCCGGCCCTCATGTTACACACCGCCACTGTGCCTAAGACAAAACAACAGCAAACATCTTTATTTCTCTCCACAGCCTTTTGCAATGATGCTGTATCTTAACCACAACCCAGGAAACAGGAAACCCAGGCCAGCTGACCATCAGCTAAAACCATGGCCCAGAAGAAATATTTTTCTCCTTTAAACTGTCTGTTAGATATTTGGTCACAGTGCTGAGAAACCTGACTAATACAATGAATTACTTTATATACAGTGGAATTGCTCTCTCTCTCTCTCTCTCTCTCTCTCTCTCTCTCTCTCTCTGGAGCCTTGGCTATGCAGTTAGAGCCTGCAGTTAGCCTTGCCATGCTGAATATCTGCACAGGATAGGAATGGATGGCCTTTTGTCCTTATCCATTATGCTAAGTAGAGGTTGTTCTGCTAACTTACTACAAGACAGACAGACAAACATTACCATTAACAGTAACTGCCGTGGTCTACATGAGCTTCAGAATTGGCCTGACTGGAATTATGAGTAATGAAGAAATCACACACACACACACACACACACACACACACGCACACCTACAGAAAAGTTGGGATTAGGTGGGCCATGTACTCTGATGGAGATGTGCCAGCAGCCTGGACACCCAGCACATCTATATACACAGTGGAATGTAGATACAGTCTGGTTATACACAGATGAACAAAGAGGTTAGTCATCTTGGTGGGGGTCTCTACAAGAGAACAGTGTTAGGCTATCATTACCCTCAGGGACGAAGAAGCAATGCTTGGTACTTTCTGCACATACGGTCTACATCCTTATGTGAACCAGGGGAAGGTCTCGCCATCCTCATGACCTGGGGCATTGGGATCCTTTACATAACCATGTTTACATCAACAGTACACATTTACTCAGATATCAATGAAGCACTTATGATAGATACACTATAATCTTAACTATGCGAACATTGAAAGCCATGTAAAACTCTATGAGTAAAAGTTAATATCGCTCCACTTTTAAAAAGAAGAAAACGAATCAAAAGGGGATGAGTTAGAACCCCCAATTCTCTACGAGTTAGGGAGAAAACCTAAAAGAGCGCAAAGAACCCAAGGTGACAGAGAGTGATTGATAAGGATTACACAGCAATGTCTTCATTAGAAGACCAGGTCATATTTGACCCTATAATGGTGTGCATTCCATAAAAAAAACTTTATAATATATTGATGTTATTCTGTACTAGGTGCAAGGTAAAGAAAACGTCCTTAGGAGGTGGTTAAAGAATTAATTTCAAACAATGAAGTAAAAGATTTTCTGTGAGGACAAACCACTGTTTTTCTGCATTCTTAACCTTGTGAAAATTGCTGTCACAAAATCTATTTCTGGTAACTTTTATCAAGTTGTTCATTGGCTCTTTTTATCCAATCAATGCTAAGGAGAATTTGCATTCACAACTGGAAGTGACCTTTAAAAAGTATTTATTTTTATTTATGTGTATTGGGGTGTGTGTTTACATGCCACATGAGTGCGGGTGCCCACAGAGACCAGTAAGAGTCATCGGGTCCCCCAGAATCGGAGTTACAGGTGGCTATGAACTCAGACCCTCTGAAAAGTGCAAGCGCTCTTAACCACTGAGCTATCTCCCCAACTCCCATGAGTTTTTTTCTTAATCTACTCATTTGTAAATCTTTCAGACTATGGTTTTAGTAATACTGAAGGGGGTGGGACTCAGTATAAAAGCCTCAAGAGGGCATATGATTCGTGATAAATAAATGTGTTTTAAAGATTAATAACAATGATCACTGTAACCCTTCCTTATTTTGTGTACCTAGTTTTAAGATCATCTGAGGACTGTAGATTAAATCCACATAGATTGACTAAATTAATAAAGCAGCTGTTGCCTTTAAAGCATGTCAGAGATTTCAATGGCGTGGAAGGCTTGCTTTCTGCTACAGTTAATAAATTTTCAAGTTCATGTATCATCAAGCTTCAGCTAGAATTAGGTATCAGATTCGCCATTGTTGAACGAAACATGCTTTGTCCATCACCTTTTGAACTCCTGCTTGGAGAAGTCTACCCCAGCTGTGGTTTAATCTCTCACTCCTGTTCCTTGCAGACAGCACTGATGTGCTGGTGAGTATGGGGGATGCACGAGAGACCTGTGCTCTGCTCCCCTCACCACGTTTTGAGCATTCAGAAGGCCCAGACATAGAAGCCAGGCAGCCTTTAAACAGTGAGGATTAAACAGTGGGTTCCCTAGCGGTGTGTGCAGGGCCTTCCGGGCTGATGACTCAAATCGCAATACCAGTTTGCAGGTTGTGACCTAAAGCTTATGCTGGGGATCTGCTCAGAAGTCCTGCTTCACCCGTTCATTAGCACTCAATACTTCCACTTCGAAATGGCCTTTTTCGATACAACCTGGCTAGGAAGCAGTGGGAAAGTACTTAAATGTGATGCTTGAGAGGCTTAGAGGGTTGCTGGTAGGGTGAAGAGGTTTCTGCTCTGGGCGTCTGATTGCATAACTAGTTTGCTTGCTGGTGAGCACTAAAGCCATTGTTACTTCTTCACAGGTCTTTCCTGGCCTGGGACTTCCCTGGGGCTTCAACCTCCTCCTCTAGGACCCTTTAGAAGAAGTATCACAATTACAAAGTGACAAAAAAAAAGGCTCCAAGGAGCATTTGAATGTGGAGCACAAATTCTAAGTTTGGCTTTTGTTGTTTTCTTGTAAGTTTTCGTAGTTTTCTGAACTCCTACACCCAGCCAGGTTTAAATGTTTGAAGTCCTGAGGTTCCTGCCAAAGGAATGGTTTCTCCATCAACTTTGTGGCCTGTACACATAAAGACCACCGATGTCTATTCAGAGTTAAAGACACACACTGAGTAGTTAAGAGTCAGACTTCCTGAGTTCAGGCCCCACTTTGTTGCTTGCTAACTGTGTTCCCCCGAGAACACCATGTAAGGCCCTTGCTAAAAGGCTAGAAAGGAGACACTTCTGGAAAATAGCTGTTTCAGGTGGGATGGGTTACTGAGAAAAGATTTTAGGTGGAGAAACATCAAGCACCTTCCATTCCCCTTCATTATGCCACAGATATCTCAAGGATTACACAGTTTTTGTAGCTTCCCCAACTCTCTCATTCTCACCATGCTTCAAAACCCCCTTCCTCCCTTCCTTTCCTCCCTTCAAACATCTGAATTAAAAGCTCCAGAACCTTAAAACTTGGTGAAGTTTTCTTATTTTGGTGTGAACAGAGATGTGTCCTTTATATGATGTATTTCACTTCATCAAGGGAAACCAGATAACTCAGGTAACTGGCAGATTCAAGAGAGATTATATTAGCCAGAGTCCTATAAAGGAATAAAAACTATGTTCAATTTAAGATAACTCAAAGAGAAGTTCTTCACAGTGGGACCAATTATAAGACCACACAAATGGACAGCAAGAACCTCCTAGGGGTAATAACAGAAAGGCCGCCATATCCCTAGGCCCAAAGGAACAAAGGAGGGCAGAGGGTCCCAGAATCTAGAAGCAGTTGGCCATCTTCAGAAGACAAATTGTTTGATGTTAAACAAGATCACCCAGTTTGAAACAGCATGAGACAGGATAGTGTCCTTGTTCCCTCTCTATGATCTGATGCTTTCCCACTCAGCCCTGTGGGACAAGAAGGCTGCAGAGCCCATGCCTACAGAAAACAGATAGCCTTGTGGCAGAGAGCAGACTGGAGAGGGTGACTAGGGGGAAACATCTTTTTTAAAGGGGAATCTTCTACCAGGGGGATAGGAAGTACTCTGGGGTTGGAACGTTTACATTGTCCTCTCCAAATCCTGTATCTTTGCTCTTGTCATAGCTCCTGTGGGTCAGAAATCAGCTCCCTTTCCCAGAGTTCCTGCAACTTTTGAGTTCCCATAAGGATGCAATCCTATATGCCCTCTCTCTCCCACCATAAACCTTCCTCTGTGCTTAAAAAATGAAGCTGGTTTTGAGCATCAAGCACGCAGGATAGTTGGGCAACACTGCTTTGAAAGGCATTTCCTACCCAGCCATAGGTCTCCAGCCCTTTGGGTGGGAACAAGGAAGCAAGCAGAACATAAATCTAACAGACAAAAGGAACCTGAGAGCCTGATTCATATCTCAGGGAAAGGAATTGGAGACCGTGACTCACACTTCAGGCAGGATGTGCAAGTGGAGAAAAAGACCCAACTTGAGCGCACACCGTGTAAATCCTACTTGACTGTCAGCTCACATATAAAGGTCGGTGCTAAATGCATTCTGCACACAGCACAAATGACAGAACTACCCTGAAAGCCAAAGGAAGGAGCTGGCAGGTGCTCCTCCCAGCCCTCAGCACTACCCACGTGGAGATGGACCAGCAGTGGCCCAGACTCTCAGATGCACAAAAGCTGATACAAGCAGCCTAAAAGAAATGGGGCTAATCTTCTGAGATGAGGTTGATGCACCTGAACACAGGAGGCAAAGCCTTCACCAGAAGGTGAGGTCGAAGCCTGGAAGAATGAACAAAATTTATTCTTCTAAGACTTCAAAATTGACTGGGGATGAGACACAGTGAAAATGCAGTAATGTTCCTAGAGAACTGTTCTTTTAGAATATATTTTGTTTATTCCAACTTGTCTAGTCGTGGACAGAAAATACAAAATCATATGAATGTAACTTAGATGTCCGAGAACTAGAGTTAGACACATCAGGAATTTGTGAGCAGCATTCAGAGCTCCCTTAGACACTTCCAAACGTTTTGCTGTGGGGTGTAGTGCTGCAAAGAGAGATGTGCGCGCCCAGAGATGGGACTCCCTGGGAGTCTCACAATAGAGAGACTCAAACCGCTTGAACTGTTCCTAGAAATAGTCCTATTCCAATACGGCAACAACAACAGCCCACGGCATTCATTTGAGATACAGTACTAAGAGTTTCAAGAGAACACCAGTGCACTTGAGACAACCAGCGACTTCTACCAGTCTTATTGGTCCACAGGCCTGAGCCACAGTCAGGATGCCCAACTGTGGTTTGTGGAGTTGCTGGGATTAGCATTCAACCTGTGAATAAAACAGTGTGATAACTACTATAGAAAATTTTCCCTTTCTAAAAGAAACAGACTTTTGCTATATGGTCTAGGCTGGGTTTGAACTTGCTATGTAACTCAGAATGGCCTCCAATTCATGATTCTACTGCCCCAGCTTCCAGGGTGCTGTGGCTACAGGTATGTACCACACCCTGCCATCTACACTATCTTTGAAAGGCTCTCATCCTTACAAGCCT